GAACAAATCATTCTTTTGAACTGATTCTTTTTAGTGAACTGAATAAACCAGTTCACCACATCGGACTGAACGGTCTGAAACAGTTCACGACTCGAGCAGCACAGATCTACAAGTTACTCAATCAAAACTCACTTTCAGACTCAGAACGAGCCAAAATATCAGTGTATATGATCCTGTAATGCTGGTTTTTGGCAACTCATTCAGGGCTCCAGATCTGACGCCGCTTGGCTCGGACCGAAGACCAATGAGCCGCTGATATGTGCAAACGTGAGCTAAGCACTTGAACGAAGGGGCCAAATGAAAGTTTTATGGTTTCTCATTGTTTATGTAAAAAGGCGAGTTGATGGAGACAAGTTTATTCACTATATGCTCTGAACATGTAAAACATCCACGTTTCCCATCATTATTGGGTGCTTACTAATATAATTGCATATACATCATTGCATGATTACGTAAACAAATGAGTGAATTGAACTAGTTCATTTAAATGAACTATCCGAAAGAAGCAGTTTGTGGAAAAGAATCCGATTTCCCTGTTTGCCTGAAGCTATGAATTAGAGGTAATAATGTTGGAAATAATGTTCCGTTTCTTGCACAGACCAATCATTTCGCTTCATAAGACCTCAATATATCGTCAGGGTGTAGTATGATTTAGTTGACTATTACACTGCAGGTAATGTTTGATTATATTTAAACATCAATCTGTTTATAGATATGCATATTTTGATCCATATAATTTCTTTGAGTTGGTTTTATTTTATTTAGATCTATTTTTATTTGTAAAGAATCAAAATGTTACATAATTAACATTTTATTTTGTTTTGAAGAGGGTGAGTACAACAGTGAGTGTAGCATGTATATTGTGCTTGTGTAGATCTTGATTATTAATTTTTAAAATTTGCCTGGACTGATTTTGTGGTTTTATTTAACTGTATTTTGAGTGACAGTGCAATGCATGCTCAGATAAATCTGGTTGTTTATTGTTGCATGACAGTATGGTGATGTGGAAGAAGGGGTAAGGTCGATGTGCCTGCCATGTGACCTTTGACCTTTTAGCATTTGCATTGACCTGTGGGCAGGACTGTAGAAAGATAGTCACCTATTCAGTCCAAACTTTTTTTTTTTGGAACAGTTTATTGAACATTTGATCAAATCTTAAAATAAAAGTTTGCATATGTGTTATTTGTTGAGTATCATATTTGATAACTCAGTCTCTTGTGGCTCATATGGATGATAAATAGATAATAATATGGAGCTCATACATGAGGAAGAAAAAAATTCATTCAGCCTCAAACGGAGCAAAAATATGCAATTTGGTGCAGCTTCTTATATTTATATGGCCAAAAAGTAAGATGAAATTCTGATAGCTTGTAAATCAATGAGATCTTTATAAACAGTATAGCAGAATACTTACATAAAATGTATGCAAATATCAGTTTTCACTCTAAATCTCCCAGTAATTTGTCTGAGTAAGATGATATTTAAATGCATAGATTTATGATCAAAACATATAATGCGATGCAGTACAATGATGACTGATAGATTAACAAATAATAATAATAATAATGTGTTCATCTTGAAATATTGCTATCAATATAAAAGTTATCCACACGCTTACTAAGATTTCACACAGCAAAAAGACATGTACCATGACCTCATTTATACTAAAAGGCTTTTTACTTTGTTAAACAAAGTATCCATCAGATGACAGAAGGCATATAGTAGATTGTGTAGAATTTTAATCATGTTGATCATTTAAATATGAGGCCTTAAATGTGTGTATCAAATATGATACATTAGGCTTCATAGGGTTAAAAATTTGGTTAAACCTCCCCAAATTCACGGCTCTTTAGCGCCACCATGTGGTTGAAATAATGGCAAATAATGCCCGTCAGAGAGAACTAATGTGGAAAAAGCAGTGATGGAGTGTTCAATCAGGATAAATAATGATCTTTAAAAAAGCATCATATGACCCCTTTAATGTAGACAGGAACAGGATATTAGAGCGAGCGAGAAAGAGGGCACATAAGGACAGATCCAAACAAAATCTCTCTGATCAACCAGAATCAGATTTCAAAGATGAGTGAGCAAGATAAGAGTTTATTTTATGAGAACTGTTTAATCGATGTTGTTGTTGGCATTGGACTGAATAGGTTAATCATTGATCTTAGATTTAATGATCTCATCTGGTTTGCCTTTGATAAACACTTGATTTGAAAGCTGATTGGCTCCTTCCCAAAGGCAGCTAGCCAACAAGATGACAGGAACAGAAGATTCTTTAATAGCCACTTGATGTGATTGGATGTGTCCTGGTTTGACCCGCCCCGTTTATACATATGCATATTAGTTTATGTATTGGCAGAACAGGACAGTGTCCGTTATTTTAAGGGCAGATACTCACTGTTTGTCTGTCATCCTCTCTGTCTCCTCATAGGGTTCAAATCCTGAGGACTTCAGTCATCTTCCTCCAGAGCAGAGAAGGAAGAAGCTTCAGTCGAAGATTGACGACATCAATAAAGACATACAGAAAGAGATGGACCAGAGGTACACAGACATGGACAAACACACACAAACTCCTATATCCTGTCATACACTGACTAGTCAAAAATCCTAGTGGATACATAGACAGTAATAAAGACTCTTTAAAAAGTCAAAAGACTTTGTCAGCTTGATACTTTTATAGCAGATTGTACACTTTTTCAGATTTTTATACGATTCCTGCCTACCAATTACTTTCTTGTTTTATTTAATTTTTTATGTATTTATTTATTTACTTACTTATTGTATTTATTTACATATTTATTTACTTATTTTATTTATTTGCATACATTTGCAACCTTTATTAATTAACAATTTAATTTATTTATTTACATGCTTATTTATTATTTTACTTATTTATTTGCATGCATATTTATATATTTCCATCATTACTTTATTTCTAAAAGAAATCCAATTGAAATAAATTCTATAACTTTAGCCATCTTTAAGTTTCCAGCAGCATAACATTATTCAATACGATATGAATTGAGTTTTGAAAAAGATATGCAATATTCAGTAGGACTCAAGAATATAACATAGAAATCAAGAATCCCTATTATGACATTTCAGTAGAAAATGCACTACAATAATCCTTCTGGAATATTTTTTGACTAGGCCAGAGTTTGACAGGTTTTATTCAGCAAAATGTATATATGTATTTTTTCTCTGCAGAGATGCTTTGACTAAAATGAAGGAAGTGTACATAAAGAACCCACAGATGGGGGATCCCAACAGCGTGGACCCTCGGTTAGCAGAGATCGCCCACAACATTGAGAAACTGCAGGCGGAGGCTCAGAAATTCGAGGTGCGTGTCATTTAATGCAGCACAGGCCTGGATGAGAGCTTCAGTTAAGTGGAAATGAGTGTGTGTGTGTGTGTGTGTGTGTGTTTTAGGGCTGGTTAGCGGAGGTCGAAGGAAGGATGCCTGTAAAGAGTGACCCTCCACGGAGGACGAGTGCCCTGTACGAGACCCAAAACAGCACACCACCCACCACCAACAACAACTGCGCACAGGATAGAGAGAGGTACACACTCTCACACACACAACATTATCAAATAAGATTATTATTATTGTTCATAGTAACATATACATACACTTACAGTCAATTTGCAGTCACAGTACTTTGCAAACAGGTGCTATAGTTATTGTGTACGTGTGTGTGTGTGCGTGTGTGTGATGGAGCAGTCCGGATGGCAGTTATACAGAGGAACCGAGTTCTGAGGTCCAGAGTAAAGTCCAGCCCGAAACGGCGGAGTCTGGAGATGAATTTGATGATGCAGATGAAGAAATACTACCCACCATCGGCACCTGCAAAGCCCTCTACCCGTTTGAAGGTAATTCATGTATAAATGCATAATAAACCATATAAATACATAATTAAACAAAAATATGGGCTCCATTTCAAACCCTAGTGAGCTGCCTCACTGTGTTTTATCAACAAAGCACTTAAGTACTTAAGTAATAAAACCTCCAAAAAGTGATTTCTTCATATATGTGTAGGAACACTTTACAATAAGATTCCATTTGATTCCATTCCATTATAAATAATCATGAAAAATACTTGTTAAGCATTTCATTTTAGTTTGTTTGAACTTTTATTAATGTATCTATCAATGTATGAACTAACAATGAACATTTGTATTTTTGTTAACTAATAAATACTGAAAGTAAATTGTTAGTTAATGCATCAACTCATGTTAAGTAATGGAACCTTATAGTAAGTGCTACCATATTGAGGCCAGTAATAGTTTTTAAAGAAATTAATACTTTTATTCATCAAGGACACATTAAATTGATCAAAAGTGATAGTACATACATTGAAAATATTACAAAAGATTTTTGTTTCTGCTCATCAACTTATTCTGAAAAAAGTATCTGCGTTTTCACAAAAATATGAAGCAGCACAATCGTTTTCAACATTATTATTAATAATAATAAAAAGAAGAAATGTTTGTTGAGCAGTAAATCAGCATATTAGAAGGATTTCTGAAAGATCACGTGACACTGAAGACTGGAGTAATGATGCTGAAAATTCAGCTTTGCATCACAGGAATAAATTATATTTGAAATATATTCGAATAGAAAACACCTATTTTGAATTGTAATAATATTTCACAATATTACTGATTTTACTGTATTTTTTATCACATAATTGTGGCTCTGATGAGCATAAGAGGCTTCTTTTAAAAACATGAACTAATCCTACTGACCACAAACTTGTAAACTGCACTGTATATACATATTTGAATTATTTATTGATGGATTGATTGATTGATTTTCTTCCAATTTTCTCTGTAGGTGTTAATGAAGGCACCATCTCAGTAACGGAGGGTGAGCTCTTGTATGTAATAGAGGAAGACAAAGGTGATGGATGGACGCGTATTAGAAGAAACGAGGAAGAGGAGGGTTACGTCCCCTCATCCTACGTCGAGGTCTTTCTGGACTCCAACGCCAAAGGTGCCATAACCTACATATGACCCAAAGTTTTAGGTCCTGTGATCTCAGAAGTGTGTTTGTGTATATGAATACTGAAGGAGACGGCTAGGGTGTGTGTGTGTGTGTGTGTGTGTGTGTGAGATCCTGAATCTCTCCAAGCCAACAATGTGACTTTTTAGACTTTTTTTCTGAAACTGAATGACTAAATGATTGTATGTGTCTTAGCACATGATGGTTTTAGATATTAGCCCACCATAGTTTAATATGGCGGTAGTATCTTGTCATTTTGAGTAGCAATGCATGTTAGAACACTCCAACTAAATGTATAGACAAATGCAACACACACATATAAGAGGAGACACATACAAGTTTTTGTAATGTTTTCATATGTAAATGAACTTAAGGTCAAATTATGCTAGTGTTTTTCCCCCGAAAAAACTTTTTCGTAACCACTAGTCAAGCGCTAGTAATAATAACCAGTTTACAAGTCGCATAAAATAGTATCATTTCCTTTTCACAAAATATATTTGTGTAACGCGTGTTAGACAAAGACTGCCTTTTTGCTTCTTTAGCTGTATTATTTGTTGACACTGTATTCAATCTCAACACTTGTACTTGATATTGAGTCTTAAAAAGAAGAAATAACCCTGGAAAAAGCAAATGCTTTACAAAAACATCATAAAAATGTGTAAAAGCAAAGTATGCATTCATTAAACATGATTGCATAGTATGTGCCACGTCCACACAATCATGTTTGGTGCTCCTGATCTTTATTCCTAAGTGCTGAGATGAAATATGACGTGAATATGAACCTTTTCTGAATGTTTCCTCACAGATGTGTTTTCCTGGAGAAGGGTTTGTCTTTCTGAGGGTGAGACGGAGTACTAGTTGAGTGCATTAACAGTGTGTGACTGAAGAGATCTAGAATGAATTGCCTTTGACATTTAAAACAGTTTAATACTGCACAAGTGTGATTTCCTCTGAATGAAGTGTTGAAGTCCGACTTTTATTTCAGTTTACACATGCATGAACCTACGTGTGCCACCTTTAAGTTAGAATTGTCTGCAAAATGAGGTGCAAACACACACACAAAAACCTAATACAATTCACAAACCGACAGAGATAACCTTCATGCAAATCTTGATTGTTGAGAAAAACATAACAATTTTTGGCAGTTTTTCCACTGCAAAACTAAAACTAATAAAAAGCATTTTTGTGAATTGGAATAAAGCTGAAATAAAATGTATATTAGGTGACAAATTTAAACATAAAAAACTTTTTTAAAAATTGAAATGTTGCCTTGACAACTTGTAAAATAAGTCGCTAAAGCAAAACATTCTAAAACTAAAAACTTAAATAAAAAAAAAAGAAAACAGAAACTAATAAAAATGACAAAAGCACATAACAGAATTGCTAGAACTTTCCAATTAAAATGAAAAAATAACAGCTAATTCAAAATATTAATAAATACTATAATCGTATATATAAATATAACTGAAGCAACACTGGTGTAAAATGTGACCGTGGAGCACAAAATCAGTTTTAAGTCGCTGGGGTATATTTGTAGCAATAGCCAAAAATACATTGTATGGGTCAAAATGATCGATTTTTCTTTTATGCCAAAAATCATTAGGATATTAAGTAAAGATCATGTTCCATGAAGATATTTAGTAAATTTCCTACTGTAAATATATCAAAACTTAATTTTTGATTAGTAATATTCATTGCTAAGGACTTCATTTGGACAACTTTAAAGGCAATTTTCTCAATATTTAGATTTTTTTGCACCCTCAGATTCCAGATTTTCAAATAGTTGCATCTCATCCAAATATTGTCCTATCCTAACAAACCATACATCAATTGAAAGCTTATTTATTCAGCTTTGATGTATAAATCTCAATTTCTGACCCTTAAGACTGGTTTTGTGGTCCAGGGTCACTAAAAATAAAAAGAAGATAACCCAGGGTTAGTTAGAGTTTAAAAAGATTTTAATTAGAGGGCATGAATCCATCCCTTCACCGAGTCTAACATGTTTTTGCTTTTGTTTTTCACATGTTTGTTTGTATGACTGCAGATTCGTAAAGTATGGAAGGAGGACTCAGTGGTGCAGGGCAAACAGCAGCCATATGTGCGGAAAACTACAGCCTACTCTCCATGAACCACCCTAGAGTGAGACAGATGAGAGACAGACACAAAACAAAGAGAGGAACAGAGGAAGAGGCTATAGAGACCTCTCGGCCTAAATTCTCCTGCTGTAGAGAGGAACTTTAACAGCGAATCAGTGAAATATTATGGCATTTAGATTTATTACCTGTCTGTTATTTTATAAGGAGGTGAATATGATCTGCATATATCATTTTGCTTTACGGCTCTTCATCGCTGCTGAACGGCGCTAACGTTTCTTTCAGCCTGTGCGAGTGAGTGTATGTATGTGTCAGTTGTTCCGATTTCCTCACCTTTCCTCAAACTAAAACCCTGGGAATGTGGTCTGTAAAATGAGCTGAATTTTTGGTACCACAACAGTGCTGCGTTCCATTCATATTCCTGCTATATATAGCTTGATGCTGGAAAGATGATGTATACTACTGGTCAAAAGTTGGGAACATTTAAGATTTTTAATGTTTTGAAAGAAGTCTATTTTGCTCGCTAAGGCTGCATTTAATTAAATAAAAATACAGTAAAATTGTGGAATATTATTACTGTATTTTCATTTAATTAAATACAGTAAGATTGTGGAATGTTATTACAATTTAAAATAACTGTTTTCTACTGAATATTTTTAAGCATGTTTTAAAATGTTATTTATTCCTGTGATGCAAATCTGAATTTTCAGCATCATTACTCCTTCAGAAATCATTCTAATATGCCGATTTGCTGCTTAATTATGATTGGTGCTCAGTTATTAATAATGGTTCTTATCATCATCAATGCAAAAAACTGTTTTGCTGCTGAAACCTTGATTTTTATTCAGGAATCCGATGAATAGAAAGTTCAAAAGACAGAAATCTTTTGTAGCATAAATATCTTTACTGTCACTTTTACCTGAATGGTAGTGTATCAAGGTTTCAAAAGAATATAAATGTAAATGACATTTTAAAATATATTAAAATAGACAACAGATAAAAGTTAAATTGTAATGATGTTTCACAATATTACTGTTTTTGCTGTATTTTTGATCAAATAATTCCAGCCTTGGTGAGCCGAAGAGGCTTCTTTCGAAAACATTAATAAATTGTAATTATTCTAAACTTTTAGTGTATAAAGAAGCAAAATGGCAATGCAAGCATGTTTTACAGGTGTATGCTTATCAACAAATCACGTTTTACACAGCTTAAAACATTCATATATAAATTTATGATGTAGGAACTTTAAATCATTCATACTTTTGTTTGTATGATGTGAAATGTCTTTAAGTGGCCTTCGATTGCACTAGCTGGAATCTTTCTCAAGTTGAATGGAACGCAGCATTAAAGTTCTTCATGACCTCACTCCTTAATCAGGCCACACCCCTTTAGTCCCTTTGACTCCACCTCCCAAAGATAACAGCTGCTGGCCATTGGTTGCTCACATGGCTGTGGCACACATCAGGGGCGGGGCTTCACTGGCCAATAGCATGTCTGCTTGCCCTGGCACCTCCTCTGTCTCCGCCCTTCCAGTGCAATTATTAATACTGTCTGTCTCTTTGCCATCTTATCCAACTCATGATTTTTATCTAATGTCCCTTCAGGGATTCACATTTTCATTCATTTGATCTATTAAGACTTCCCGCTTTACCTTAACCGTCCAGTCATCATGCTCAAACGCTGTTTTTGTTTGTCGGGCAAGGGAGGGGCTATATTTACACTCATGAATATGCTAATGTCCTGTTGATATGGGTATGTATTTATTGTGACAGCTGTTTTGTTCATGTCTTCATGATTTTACCCTGTGGAGCACCCAGCCGAGAACCTCGCAACCTCATTGGTTTCGCCGGATATATATATATGTAATGGTTTAAATGTACTCTGAGCCAAATGTACAGGTTAACCAGACATTTAACATGCATCATGTGAGCTGTGAGCGTTTGTATGGCTCTCTTAACCTGAAGAATAGACTTGGAGGTTTTTAATTCAACTGATTTTTTCCCTTTTTATTGTAATACCTGTGGTTTGGCGAAGGTTTTTTTTTTTTTTTGAAGAGATTATATTTTGTCATTTCATCATCTTCCACTGTTTACTCACCATCCCTGAGGCACATAATTTTAACTTTTCTTTTTATATATATATATATATTTTTTTTTTTTTATTCTCTCACACAGTCATTTTGGGTCCAGGAGAGGTTTTAGATATAAAAAATTTATTTTTAATTATTATTATTTTTTTTTATTGATTCTTAAGTAGGTTTGAAGCCCAAAACATCTACATCTCTACAGGCAGCATCGTGGAAATGAAAATTCGCACATGCCACAGATCTGCTATTTAATGCTGAATGCTTTTATTATGTTTAACAAAGCGTTTATTGATGAATTATGATGTTTTATGTTTAATTAATTGAGCAGCCTCTCAGAATAACTGACTCACTCGCTATCGATGAACCTGTAAATATAATAATGTGTTATAAATAAGAAATGGTTTTGAAAGCGGAGAACATCTCACCATCTTGAAGAGGAAAACGTCATTTCATATGTCTTCCGAACATACACACTTTCTCAAGTGCTCTGTCTCTCTTTGAGAACAAAACAATTGCTAAACAACTTCATTTGAGCCTTTTCAGCATTGTTATACTTTGCTGGCTATCACCATATGACATATACATACACACCTCTCAGTGTCAAGCATCATTTGCCCTCGGCCCTTACCTACTCTATTTGGGGCTTCAAAACACCATTCCCGAATCAGAGAATTAAAAAAATATATGTATATCTATACAATTTGAGTTTTTTTTTTTGTATTTTGTGCTTTTATAATTTTCATTAGTTAAAAAAAAATATGTATTATTTCAGTTTTAGTATTTTTAGCAATTCAAACGTATTTTGTGTCAATTGTAGGGCTGCAAAACGATTAATTGCGATTAATCGATTCAAAATTAGTTTGCTTAATATATGTGTGTGTGCATATTTATTATGTATTTTTAAATACACACACATACAGTATATATTTTGAAAATATTTACATGTCTATATTTATTAGGGCTGTCGCGATAACCGCAATACTGCGTGTTTTCTTTTTTCATAGGGTTATGCCCTTCTCGTTTTATACTTCGTGCATGTGTACTGAATATTAAATAAGTTAGTAATGATAACATAATGTGTACCATGCTGATTTGTACTGAGGCTCTGTAGATTTGCACTAAGGAGCCTAAACAGACAGATCAACTGAGCATGTGCGATTACTTGCGAGTCATATATATTTGTGAAAATAGGTAGTCATGTCCAAGGAAAGCCAAATCTCTGTCAGCTGAGCCTTCTAACGTGGTGCTCAAAGTTAAAATGATTTCAGCAGCGTTTTTGATTTTGTCTCTCTTTGAATGAATCAGCGTTTTTGAACTGTGAACGGTTTAAAGACTCACTCAAAGACAGTCCCTTTCCACCACCTTGTGGCGCAACAATGTAACTGCACTGACTGACAGCCCGTCTAGGTGGAAATATCAATAGAAAGTCTCTTGTCCAGTCGGATTCGAGGATCAGAACGAACTGTTATACATATAGGCTAACAATCTTATTGTCAGGTTTATGTTCTGTTATGTGGATCATTATTTTGTCATTCTCTTGTTTACTTCACTTCCTGTTTCAAGCTATTTGGATTTGGTTTAATTGGTTTCTGAATATGACCTCATTATATCGTAACACATACACACACAGAATAATATGGTATGCGATAATACCGCATACCATGCTATTGAGCCACTCAAAATTACCGCAAGGGAAATTCCTTCACCGCGACAGCCCTAATATTTATATTCATATAATTTATATTATAAATAAATATATTTAATGTATAAAATAACATTTTTCTGAAATATATACATGCATGTGTGCGTATTTATATATACATAATAAATATACAGTACACATACATATATTATGTAAACAAAAACTTTTATTTTAGATGCGATTAATCGTTTGGCTGCACTAATTTATATATATATA